GGGTGTACCAGAGATCAGGTTTAAGAGATTATTAAATTGTTCGATTAGATTCGTCTTAAGAGTTTCCATAATGTTTTCAAGTAGTGCAGAATCAAGGGACATTTTCCGCTACGATATGCCTTCATTTTCCAATACATTACAAACAAAAACCCTTCCCTATGTTGTTAATATGCCCATCCACGTTCTCCCATATGCACTCTTTAAATTAATATATTTATTTCCATTTGACCGAAAAATGAAATGGACCCACATATAACGAATAATACTAAATCAAAGATTAAAACTTCTTTCACTTCTTAATACACAAAATTGCTAAGTAAAACCTATTTGGACCAATTTATCACAGAATCATCCATTTATCTGGTTGTTAATATTTTTTTAGCCAGGCATAAATAAAGATTAGCAGATAAAAAGATATATATTTCCAACCCTGCGCTGCCTTATAGGCAATGTGGATATTTGAGCAAAGCCATCAAAAAAGTCCAAGATTGAAAGTTACCTTTTCATTTTTTATAAACTGATGTTATATGAACACTGAAGGAAGTGAACTTATAGACTAAAGATTTTGGTAGAACATTTTTATTGTATATATTAGAGAGGTGTAACATACAATGGTGTAACAACTTTAAAACTAGAAGTGTAATATCATAAAAAATTGGGCCAACGCCGGAAACATCCGATTTTATTTAAACTTATTTATTGCTAACCGTTTTTTTTTCTCAATATAATACAGTCCGTGGTACAGAATCCTTTTTATCACATTATAACATTCGCTTGAAACTTTGTAAATAGCTTCATCTCATTGTAACCTACAACTATTTTATTTTCGAAAACTCTTGGAATAGGGGCGTTTTCAATCTGGCAAACTCTATCTATTTAATTAGGTACTAAAATCTCGTTAATACTCATTTGATTTCTACTTGGATTGTAAGATAATTTGATCACAATATGGAGAAAAAGGGTAGCCTTAAAATATATTCGGCCGTTTGGCCTTTATAACCTCGTTATTTTGAAATATTGGGAGTTTAGGTCACGCAAAACTGCCCAATATTTTTTTATAGCACCTTTTTTGTGGATTTTGTGATTAAATTTAAATCTTACGATTCAAGTGGAAAGCAAATGAATACTTACAAGTTTTTGGTACCTAATTAAATAGACAAAGTTTGCCGATCTCCAGATTGAAAACGCCCGAAATTCCGAGAATTTTGGTAAATATAATATTTTAGGTCACGATGAGATGAAGCTATTTACGAAGTTTCAGGCGAATGTTAATAATTTGATAAAAAAAAAAGGGGAGGGACTAAGAGTATTAACGTTGCGATGGAAATAATTAAAGACCACGGGTTCTACCTTTCAAGCTTACTCACCCTCACCGCAGATATAGTCATCTGTTTGCTCACCACCTCGAGGCGGAAGCCATAATTCACATACTAGAAGAGACTTCCTGTTGGGCCATACTATCCCTCCTCGGATGATACTTTAAATCCAGGAGGTTGTGGGGTTTCAATCGAAGTGGTGGTGCTTCTCGCCATGGAATAATGAACATATGCTAGCCATTCTCGGGAACCATTTACAATGTAAATGGCAGTGACACGGGCCACTGCTGGCGCTTGATTAAGTTCCAAGCGGTAAGTCCTTTCAAGTTTCCTCATCACAGGTGACAATATCATTTTCATTAGTTTTATTTTTATTTATTTCTTATATTATTAAAAAAAAATTAAAATTTTATAAATTTCTAGGCGACCTAGAATATGTAATTATAGTTTGTAAATTCAACAATGTCATGATTCTAAATTATATTTTTTTCGAATCCTTAAACTAACCTAACTTATTCCTATAAATCAAGTCTTTAATATATCATTGGTCATTTCTTAGAAAATGTATGGAATGTAATGTAAAATCTTATAAAAAATGTATTACTTCGTATGTAAAATACGAAGAAATAAAATAACGAAAAATATGAATCGTTTATTTCCAAAGTTAATCCTAATAATCATTGAGATTTTTTTAAGAAACGCAAACAACTATATTTTCTATTCTAATTGTAATATGAAAACAATGTTTTATTTATTTATTTTTAATTATTTCTCTATTTATCGGCTTCCGCCATCAGATCTTGCACCCCATTACCACTGCAATTTGAACGAAGCGGTATATCTTATGTTTTATAAGCGCGAGCATACATCTAAATGCGTGTGTCCATATGTTACAGTGTGGAGAGTCTGCCACTTCTATTCTATGCAAATAGGTATTAGAAAATAAGTTGAAAAGTTCTTCATCTAGCACATATTTCCGAAATCACCTGACCATGTTAGAAGTAATTAAAAACATTGAAACTAGAACAGAGCTGATTTTGGAATAAACTTAAGTTCAATACACGTTTTTGTACAAATAAAATGTTGATAGGTTCGATTTGGATAAAACAAATGGTGATTCGGAGATAAAATGTAATAGAACTCGTTTTATTAAAAAAATTATTTACAATAATGATACAATATAAGTAACTTATTTTTAATATTGGATTATACAAAGAAAATAAAAAACTTTTGATGAATTACTTTTTTAAGATTACTGAAGAAATGCGAGTTTTATTACATTTCATGAAAAATAAAATCTAGTTGAAGTGAACATTTTTTAAAAATATTAAGGTTCTTTTTTGGAAGAAAAATACACTATTGGATTTGTTGGGAGTTTTTACATTGCAATCGATACTTATGTTTCCCAAAAAATGGATTAGGGCTCACTTTGGAACTTAGCCACTCATCATATCACTACTGCTAGTGCAAAAGGTCGTGTGTAACAATTTTATACGATTATTCTCCTTGTGCAAAATGTGACATTTTGTAATCTGCAGTTGCTGTAAGTAGTCTGCTAAATAGGGAAATAACAGAGGTAAATAACATATGAAATTATACTAATAATTTAATAAGAAATTTTCGGTTAAAAAAAAAAAATCAATTTTAACATACGACTTTTTGCACAAACAGTAGCGATATGCAAAATAAATGAATTTACTCATAAGCTACACTTAGTAATATTCAATATAGGCAACTTATTCTATTTTAAAAAATGTATTCAAATTTTAACTGTGATTAATAAAATATAATATAATGCATACTGTTGCGCGGTAACAAAATTGGTTTCAAATTATAGGTAACAAAATCGTGTGAGTGGCTCGGAAAAATAAATGATAGGAGCCTAAAAAAAAGCTTGCAATTTCTCCAGCAGTCACTTTCCATTTCCAGTCAATCAATCTCCTATCGTAACTCATCAAATCTTCTCTCATGTTTAATTCTTCACTGATCAACCAAAGTCAAATTAAAGTAGCTCGTTTCAACAGTCTCTAGAAAAACATGTTTTTTCATTTATTGCGCGCAAGCTATTTCGCACCGAATTTCTGTCACAGGCATCGGTAGTCAAAACCCTACATAATAAAAAAAGAAGCAACAAAATCGGTCCACTAGTACCCGAGATAATTTTATCACAGACAGACAGACAGAACAATAGCTGAAAATGTGTTTTTCGGAATCAGGGGGCTGCTCTGAAACGTATAGATCCGTCGAAAACCGCATGTCGGAAATTTGACCTGATCGCAATACTTTCCTTACCTAGTATAGGTAGGAAAGTAAAAAAACAAACCGAGATGTAGCAGTACGGTCTAGGAAATCAAACCAGAAACATGACTAATTGTAAAACTATTCTTGGTACATCTCACGCCAGATATACTTATCAGAGTATTATGTTTACTATATAGCTTTCATTTGACCTATACCATTTACATCGGTTCGAATTTAAATTATAATTTGAAGATATATCATATCGTATAGAAGATAAATTATGATTTCTAGAAGGAAACTGACATCGAGGTATTAATAAACCTTCACGCATCCTCTTCCATGCTATGTCATTGCCTCTCGGAAATAGCGACTCTGGCGTCCACTTACCGAGCTAATGTTTTAATATGTGGGGTAAGTTATTATTTTATTATACAGAATAACATTAATTTGAAATAGATTTATAATTATAAAAAACATAATTATGGTTGAGGGTTGCTGTCACAGTGAAAAAAAACTGAGTGGCTTCGTATCCATCAACTAAATTCAAAAGTTGTCAGCAGTTAGAAATATGTCACACGGCTGGTTTATTTTTCAACTAATGGTATTAAAATTCATTTGGAACATAGATAACTTTATTGTGAGTGGTTTCTGAATGAAAACCTAATTTGACCGAATTCGTTAGTTAGAACTTTTTCAAGGAAGACCTGAGAGAAAATAACATCAAACTTTCAATTAATTAACCTTTAATGCTCCATATTTTGTCTGAAATATAATATTAATATATATCCCATATAATGTTAGTATGGATACATATGTACTTATGAACATACACATACACATATACCTAATAGTTGAGATATGTAATTGGAGTAATGGACAGCTGGGGAGGGCGTTGCACTCCAGTGGACTGCTCCCACACAAACCTTTCCCACAAATGTCAACCTCCATATTAATCGATTTATTTCCTTCCACCTAACGGCAGTAACTGGCATTATACCAATAGCAATATTCCCATATAAAAAATGCATTATATTTCATCTTCATTAAATACTGTTTCTGTAAACTTATCTTGTTTGGTTAAGTATTTATTTTTAATTATAATACAACTTAATTATCAAACAACTAATATTATTCATTTTATCTTTGTTACAGCTTTTTTCTTGCCTTATGATACAATGAACTCTCGAAGACTCTTCGCCCGATGAAGCCAGCCAGCTCTTGGACCACCGAGGGCAAGCAGTGAAAGGGGTTTAACCACTGGCGCTGGCCGCTAGGTTGACAAATGGCTAAGAAAGTGTGTCAGCAGCTGTCGTTGGCGAACGACAGTAGCTCGGAGGGGTGCGCTGCCTGTAACATAATATGGCTACCGAAGGACTAAGTCAGTAACCCCCATTAGCCTTTGTGGCCCGCTAATCCGGCTCTTGGAGGGCGCGCTGATGGACTATGGGAAACCGATGTTGTCACCGGTTGTCAGAGGAGTCACCCATCCAGCTGCCTGTCACTTCAACCATTGCCGCTTTACCTTATAGGGTAATTAAGTGGCGTACTTTATGTGTGAGAACATCCAAGCTTCGGTCCGCTGGCTATCAGGGTGAGAGCCTCATGGGTCTCGATTGTGTATCTTCTTCAGCGTTCTCACGGCTTCGTTGAACCACCACTGTACTTAGATGTAAAGAAGTACCGCATGAGGCGATGAAGTTAAATGAAATATTCAAAGTATTTAAATCGATATAGCTCATTACGTCATAACTAATAGAATCACAATCTTGAGTAATCCAAATTAGAAATTTTGGTTTATTATTTTCAATAATCAACCATTGTGATCGACATAAAAATTCAAAAACTTAACCCCCTCTCAAAATTTCAGGTTTCACGTTTCAGGACGCATAGAACTCGAAAAACAAATAAAAAATTTTTTGTCCGTCCGCCGTCCGCGCATTTTCTCCGAAACTACTGGACCGATTTTTTTTTTCAAATTTTGATATAAAATCAGAGGTCACCCGAGGATGATTCTCCTTCATCGACATTACTCCCCGCCTTTAACTTTCAAAATGGCGGCCGAAAAACCTGCGTTGCCTATAGACTGTAGCTCCTAAACGAATGTACAGATTTCAATGAAACTTCGCTAAAGTCATTTTCCCGACGCCGTTTAAACCTATCTATATAACATACTTCAACGAAAAGAAGCTGGAAAAAAAGTTACGAGGGATGGTAAAATTAAATTCCGAATAACTCGAAAAGTTTTAACTTTTCGTGATATTGTATAGTTTTTTAAAAGTTAACGAAATTTCCTAAAAAAAAAAAAAATCGTTAAAATCGGACAATTAGGAGCAAGTTATGGTCTCCGGTTTTTTTTATATGTTCTAATCCAAATGTTATATCCTTGGTTTGGTTTTTAAATTTTGAATGTGTTACTGAACTAATCCTATTTTTTTTAGCATATTACTAATGATTAAAGAAAAACAGTTTAGTCCAATAATTGGAATCACCTTTTGTTTTTTTGTCTTTGTAACTCGGAAGGTAATGTTACTTTAGATGTAGATTGTTTGAAAATAATAAACCATTGTGAAGTAATTTGCAGCGCTTTTTATCTGAAAGAATTGTAACATTCCAGAAAATGATATTAGAGACCATTAAAAAAACAAAACTGGACTACTAAAACCCATGAAGGGTGTTGGGTTCAATACATTAATAGGAAGTATAGGTGAAACCACTTAAGTAGTTGAAGTCAAGTTATAATAAAAAAAATTAAATAGAATGCATGGTAAGCGCACCAGTGATGGGACACAGCTAAGTAAATTTTTGTCAACTTTGGCTTATTTTGCCGTAAATATTAGAGTTATAAACTTTTCCGGTGAACATTTAGAATCTCTAAGCCCTCTTTGTTATATTCAACACTTTAAAATTAAAAACAAAAACAGTTGTGCAGATATAATCTTCATTTATTAAAAAAAATATATAATATAACATAAATGTTCAACTTCTCTTAGCAAACCTGTTGTTAGTAGGGAGGGATGAAATACACTGATCTCACGAGAACTATACAAACAACAATGATAGGCAATTTAAAATTTTATTTTGTGAACTTTGTTCATACAGTTGTCAATAGAGGGCATTGTTCTTCAATCTAGAAAAAAATGGAACCTTTAAATCAACAAGGGAGCTAATTATTTACGTTTAAAGTCCCACTTGTACATAACTGGTGCGTTCACCCAAGTAAGAATTTTCGTGAAATTTATAAATCTGGATGTATTATAAACGATCGATGTATCGATGTATTATAAACGATGTATTATAAAATAATCTATGTATTATAAACCCTTAAAATGTCTGTATACCTTGACCCGTAATTTTTTTTTAAATTTCTGTTCTCTCTTTTATAATTGAAATCATTGGTTAGCATCTTTAGTTTCTATTGATACACTATTCTTCTGTATCTAACTTAGTCTAATTATCACTTCTTAACTAATGGTTGCAATAGTAAAAATTATTAATAGCATTCTGACAAACTTCATATCCGACTTAACTTTAATCAATAATTAATTGCAATAAATGAGAAGTGGGTATTGTTCCACTCCGTGAGTTATGAACCGTTGCATGCACTTCTTAATAACTATTTGCGGGACCTCAATTAGTTTAACTACTGAGTTATACAATCTCTCGAAATGTCAATCGGTTTAGTAACTATAATTATTTATAGTTAATATCAGTAATTATCTTCTTTACAATCAGGAGTTACTACTATAATTATTTTACTTCTTACATGATTTATACCTTTCCACCTGTTGTGATTTAAGTCATGTGGGATATAGATGGCTGTTTGTGCAACAATGAGAAAAACATGTGGTGTGTCCGATTCCCAACTCAACCAGATTGCATAAAATGTATTTGAAATAATCCATTAATGGGCTGAAGCAAAATGCTTTAACAGCAAACTAATTATAGTTTATTATATATTTTCTTTTCTTTTTTTATGGTAAAATTGGTTATTTTCGAAAACGAAAATGTGATTGAAATAATGTTAATCCGTATTACAGGCCCCTTCTTCCCAAACTAGTCTGAAACTTCTTAAATAGCTTCATCTTATATAAGTTACAACTTTTTTACTTGTAATTGAAAGCTCTTTCATTACATTAATTAATTTAACGAGGTATTAAAAACTCATGAATACCCCTTTGCTTTCCACTTGATTCGTAAGATAATTTTATCACAGAGTCGAGAAAAAGGTAATAATATAATAATAATAATAATAAAAGGCTTAGCGAACCCGAAGGTTCGATATCAACACCGCCAATAGCTTATTACACACCTCCCTTCACCGTTCGCCGTCCAAAACCAGTCCCTTCAGATCGGCTTTAACGCAATCTTCCCACCTTCGCTTCGGTCTACCCCTCGGACGTTTAACATTCAGTTCAGCAAACATTAACATTAATATTAACTCAATTATATTATCTCAAGAATATTTTAGACGGCTGTAAAAAAAATGATAAATAGTTGTCTGTACCGCGGAATGTATAAAAATTAAAAAAATATATATATTTAAAAAAATATTATATTCAGTTGTAATCCAAATAATCAAGAGGGCAGGATTTACGTATTTTTCAATTAAGGGAACACTGGGCATAATGGTGTACAATTTATTGTTAATAATCGAACTGGCTTGGTTCTTCTTTTCTGAATCCAATATTTAATTATTTTGTTAGACTGCGTCTGAAAAAGTTATTTAAAGGAGAAAATTGCTACTCTTGTTTATAAAAACTTTCTCGAGAATTTTCAAAATGGGGGGGCTGAAATATAGTGGATTTAATATTTTCGTTTCTTATTTTATAATCGACACTAGGGTGGACCCATCAGTTATGGCACAGGGGGTTCAGTGATAAACTTTACATGTAAATAATAAGCTTCCATGTTGATTTAATGGGTCCAGTTTTTTGTACACTGAACAACAATGTCCTCAATTGATGACTGTGTGAACAAAGTTCCCAAAAGAAAATTTTAAAATGCATATAATTGTTGTTTGTATAGTTCTCGTGAGATCAGTGTATTTCATACCTTCCTACTAACAGTTCTATTAGGAGTAAGTTGAACATTTATGTTATGTTATCTTTATAGTTAAATATAGGTTTTAGAATTTCTTTACGGAATATCTATTACTGATACCTACCCGCTGTCGATTACTAGAACAATGGAATTTTGGAATGTCCATCACTACTGCAAAAAGGTGTTTTTTTTTTTTTAAATAGAGATTATATCTGCATAACTGACTTTTTTTTCAATTAAACTAAACTGTTAAATAGAAAATGAATACCCTAGAGATTCTAAATGTCCAACGAAGAAATTTATAACTATAATAATTACGGCGGCATAAGCCAAAAATGACAAAAATTTCCATAGCTATTTCCGTCAATGGTGCGCTTATCCTATATTTATTTTTTAAATAACGGCTCCTTTATATAATAACGTTTAAAAAACTTTGAGGTTATTTTTCTGTTTCTTCATCTTTCAGTTGAGGTGGATATTTCAACAAAGAATTTGAACAAAAGGTTTGTCGTTGGTTAGTCCTTGAAGGCGCGGTTGGTGGAACCTCAAGGCTCTCCCAGTATTGTATAATTGTATCAGTTTTCGGTTCTAGCCTTGTCTTGTCCTTTTCATCAGCTGTAGGAGTTCCATCTTTAAATAAAGTTCTAAAACTAAACTGTTTATCCTATATATTTATCTATATTTCTTCCTGTTTTTAGATGAAATCGATGGTAATATTTAATGTGGAAAGTATTCAGAAATCAGGATATAAAAAAAAAATCTCTGCTAAGCAAGGCCAGTTTTCTTTCTTAACAATTCTATTAATTAAAATATTATTTATATTAGTTGTTCGGAGATAAAACCTACAAGAGAAGCCTTATGTAACAAGATGCCTTCAACTAGAGAAATCGTATGGAACACTTACAACAATCTTATGGAGTATTTACGAGTAACTGAAATAATTGAAATCTATTACAAAAAAAAAAAAAAATAATAATAAAAATTCCTCCACGGGAATAATATATATAATAAGACAGCTGAACCACCCTCGAAACTGAGACACAAAAGAGTTACCCTCTATTCAATTTCGGTTCATTATTTATTTCAAGCGGAATCAAATTTCCTATTATTCTCCCATCAACGCCTCGGCCACCCTTTGATCTATATGTATATAACGTTCCATCGGATAAAAGTACTGTGAATTGGAACTAACAGTTTCGTTTAATTCTACAACATCATTTTTAAACGAGTGATGGACATAGCTAAGGAAATCTTTTTGGGCTTATGCCGCCCTAATTATTCTAGTTATAACCTTCTCCGTTGGACATTTAGAATCTCTAGAGTCTCTATTTAACATTTTTTCTATTTAACACTTCAATACTTAAAAAGTATTAGTTATGCTTATGTAAACTCCATTTAAAAAACACCTTTTTGCACTGAAGATAGACACCCCGAAATTCAATTGTTCTTGTAATGGACAGGGGTTCGGTACCAGTAATAGAGCATCTCAGAAAAAGAATAAAATATTTATTTAACTATAAATATAACGATAAAGATAATATAACATAAATGTTCAACTTACTCTTAGCAAAACTGTTAGCAAAGTGGTAAGGGATGAAACACACTGATCT